TAGAATGAGTAAACAAAACAAAAGTCATTCATTTTCATATTTTCATTGATTTGATTCACTTGAATAGCTACAGGACTGGGCATTGTCCTCGTAGTTCCACTCAGACTTGATTGAATTTGGACACAATAAAAGCCTTCAAGTGGTTGAGTAAACAACAAGGGTCCTTCACTCAACCACAGATATGAAAAAAATGTCCATTTCTAGTTCATTTCTGCCTACCGTTAGTATTATGAGCAGCGCCATCATCACCCCCATCATGATATACATGTTCTGGGTAAGACCGCCGGCCCACAGAGGGCCCAGGATGGTGGCCAGGCCTCCCACTGAGCGTCGAACTCCCTGACTGAAACCTGCAACGCACAAAACGCCACAGGGTACAAGACTAAAATTAGCACTGTGTGTCAGTGGCAATGAATTAAACGTTTCTCATGAAAAACCACGGAAAAGTTGTGAGCCATCTACAGCAATCATCCAACGTGTAATGCCTCACACGGCCACTAGGTGAAGCTGTTTCTCACCTTGTGTTCTCTCAGAAGTAACTTTGGAGAAGAGTGAAACCTGGGCCACGGCTACAAACGGCAAACCCACAACCTGCAGAAATATTCCAATGATGAACTCTGTCAGTTGCCACGGATATCCACCTACAGAACACACAACAAGAGAAAAACAACAACACAAACAACACTGTTAACCTCCTTCATGGAACAGGGGCGGAAGTCACTCTACCACATTTTTGTAAATAATCCACTTCTCGAGCTTTAACCTGTGGGTGGAGTTCTTTCTGTGTTCACTGTTCTTGAAGATCTGGTTTTACGAGAACAAAAGAGCTGTTAAAAGTTGAGACTAACCTAGCGGGTTCGCCACAAAGATGAGGCACCAAATGCAGGAGATGTTGCCAATGGTCAGACCGATGACAAGAACCACCCGCTCCGCTACGTGACGGCTGAGCCAGCGCACAAACATGAAGCCGGAGATCACCACCACGCCGGCCAGACAGTACATCACACTGTTCTCCAGCTCGCCGAAGTTGAAATACTTCTGGGTGAGCGGGGTGACCATGGTCTGAGGAGAGAATGGTTGGAAATGTAGCATGAAAACCAAATGAGTAAAACTGTCTGCTAGTGGGAAATACAGTGCCTATAAAAGTATTCAACCCCCTGAAAATCACATCTCCCAAGTCACAGTTGTCTCGCACACTGCTTCAGGTTGTTCTCAGAGATCTACCTTCACTTTGTTGCATTCATTCTACCCTCTACCTTTACAAAGCCTTCCAGGGCCTGCAGCCAAGAAGGATGCTGCCACCACCATGCTTCAAGGTGGGCATGGTGTGTTGGTGATAGTCTGATGTCCAAAAACCTTCATTTTGGTCTCATCATACCAAAGAATCTTCTTCTAGTTGACTTCAGAGTGTCCCACATGCCTTCTGGTGAGTCCAGATTTAATACAAGCTTTTTTCAGCAGTGGCTTTCTCTCCCACATAAACTAAAACTGGTAAGAAACAAGTAATAGTTGCTGTATGCACAGTCTGTCCCATTTCAGCTTGTACCTCCTTCAGAGGAGTCATGGGTGTCTTGGTGGCCTCGATCACTAGATTCTTTCTACATCGTCACTCAGTTTTTTAAGACTGGCTCTTTTTCCATTTCTTAATTATGGTTTTAACCATAGGGCTGCAAGGTGGCACAGTTGGTAGCACTGTTGCCGGTTTGCGTCCCGGTGAGGACACCCGGGATCTTTCTGTGTGGAGTTTGCATGTTCTGCCCGTGCAGCGTGCACATTAGTTGTACCATAATGTTGGAACAGCCCTCTTTAGTGGCATCCTTATAGCACGCTGCAATAAGATTTTCTGGCATCTATTCTGGACCTCAGATGACCTGAGCTGCTTCTATAAAGTGCTGCGAACTTTTTCTGTGGAGTTTGCATGTTCATCTGTGAAGCACTTTGTGTTGCATTTCATTTGTATGTATTAAATGTATTAATTAACAGACATGACTTTGTAGAAATCTGCTTTCACTTTCACATGACAGTCCTTTTTGTATTTTTTTCCTGAAACAAGTCAAATTAAATTGACTATGATTCAATGATGAAAAGCAAAGAAAAGGGCAAACTTCCAAAAAGGGTGAACACTTTTTATAGGCAATCCCTGCTCCAGTATGGTTTCACTTGTTTCAGATGTATTTAGCAGCAACTGTAATTGATGTCTTAAAAACAGGTAAAGTAAGTGTTTTGTAGAGTCAACTCTAATTACAGAAACACAACTTGTTGTGTGCGTCTGTCTGTGTGCCTTTACCTCCAGCGCTGTCTGATTGAAGAGGGTGATGAACTGAGCAGCCAGCAGCACGACTACCTCTTCTCTCAGGAACTCTGACACAAAGAGAAAGACAGAGGGAAGCAAAAGTGGAACAGAGAGTCAGAGATCAGCAGTAAAGTGTAGAGAAAATTGGGGGAGAAAAAACAGCCAATATATAAACATCCACCATTTTTGCATCCATGTATTACACAAGGATACATGCATTCTTCCCAGTGCCACCTCGAATACAAAATTCTGGACCAATTTACCAGCATCTTTTTATGTTTTAGCCTACTTGATGCCATGTTTTTGGACTTTGCATGACAAAAAGACTTGTGGTACTTAGTTATAAAGTTTTACAGAATCCATTGGCTGCCTGGGATTGTAGGTAAATAAGAACAGCATGTATTTGAAGATGGTTTAGCGCTAATCAAAAGGTAAATTACAGATGGTTTGTAGTTAGGACAAATGGGTTCCATCCTTTAAGAAAAAAAAAAAAAAGAAGACATATTTAGCTAATTAAACTTGCAGGCAAGACAGCAAACCAAACACAGAAATTACAAGCTACCTACCTGCTGTCATGCTGGAAGCAAAGGCACGGGGCTGGTGGGCTTCTGGTGTCACAGGAGAGGGAGGTGGGGCGGTATGTTTCAGCACGCCATTGGAGACAGTGGATTTGTGGTTGCTGAGTGGGCTGGATGGTACCACTGAACCGTAGGACCCCATCATCTCCTGGGACGCCATCAGCGGCTTTTCCTCTTCGTCGCCCTCTTCCTCGTCTTCCTCAAGCCCCTCCTCGGTCTTCTCCTTGTCTCTGTTGTTATTCAACCTATTCTTGGCCTTCACATTCTCAATCGGTGGCAGATCCCAGAACATGAAGACCACCACCAGTTGAAGGAGAGCCCACAGCAGACACATGAACAGCTGCAAAGGGTGGATGATGAGTGTTAGAGCCTTTCTTTGGAGAGGCAAAGAATGTATGTCAAAGGTGAGACATCTTCTTAGCGTGCACGCTGACATATTTCCATCCTTACCCCTGGTGAAGTATATTTATTGACGAGGAAAGGACCCACGTGGAAGTCACACAGCCTCAAAAAGATGTTAAATGCCGGACCTGTTAGAAACACAAAGTTAAGTCTTGTCCAATTCTGCTACATAATGTGGCTAAAGAGCAGATAAAACTGAATTAAAACCGTTACGATTCATAGTAAATACACAAAAAAAGATCATCAGGCAGTTTTCATTATTTCCCATCAGATGAGCACTGACCAATCAGAAGGCCGGCTTGTCGACAGGCCATGACAGCAGCAAATACGGTTGCACGGTCCTCTGGGGCGGTGCATCTGGTTAGAGCGCCAAAGATGGATGAGCCGATACCTGCACCAATACCTGACGAAAGAGAACATTTAATGACGTGAAAATAAAACCTAGAGCTCTGAATCCTATTTAGACAGGATGCAAAATTATTATTTATATATACACCATTCTTTATCCTGTCCCTGGTAAATACAAGACCAGAAATAAAGCAACGTATTAACACAAGTCAAAGCTGAATTTCAAAACAGTGCTGATGAGTTAGAAGCTGAGGGTTTATTGGTGCTATAACAGCAACAGAGAGCTTAAAGGAATCAATGCAATCAAGCTAGTCAAGATTTTCGGTGGACGACTAGTTTAACCCTAAAATATTCTTTAAATCAGAAAAAAGTTGTTACAATGTAAAGATACCCAACAGCAGATAACTGAAGGGTTGCAATTCATAAACTTGTCCTTTCATATGCATGTACAAGTGTGCTCCTTGGTATGTCAAACATCCATCCATCCATTATCTATACACCTCACTAGGGTCATGGGGGGCTGGAGTCTATCCCAGCTGACTCAGGGTGAAGGCAGAGGACACCCTGGACAGGTCGCAGGGCAGAGGTTCTCAACTGGTCTCACGCTGGGACCCACATTTTCCCATGGTCATTAAGTCGCAACCCACTTTTTTTAGAATTCAATATTCAATATATTTTCCTGTGCAACATGCATTTCAGAGCATATAACCATGCATAGTAACTGGACCATGACAACTGCATGTACAAAACTGCACAAAATAAACATCAAAACTACTTGAAAATAAAGTTTTGGCCTAATCCGGTCATTTGTTGAAGTTAATAAGACAGCTGGGCACGTGCTCTACTCTTGATTAGAGTTTCAAAGTTTGGGGTGACAGTAGACAGAGCTGCTCTCAGATCATGCTCAGTGTCCAACCTGTTTCCCTGTTTCTTTTTATTTGGAGATCAAAATTGATATCTCGATTCCAGCACAGCGAACAAATAGTTGGTTATTTGGCTATTCGGGTTCAGACCTAGTACGAAAATCCACATTTTAAATACAAGGGTCATATTTGCGCTTTGCCATCTTGCATCCCAACATCAACACAAACTTAAAATGAACGTCAAACAAACTATGGTTACCATGCCTGTCAAAAATAAAAGTTTTTTCGAAAATAAAAAAAGTCCAACCTGAGACACACATATATTATTTATTCTTGACCAGCTGTCCGCGACCCACTTTTGGGTTGCAACCCACGAGTTGAGAATCACTGTCGTAGGGGCTACACTTAGAAACAGACAACCAAGCACACATTCACACCTACGGACAATTTAAAATCACCATTAACATGTTTTTGGACTGTGGGAGGAAGCCGGAGAACCCGGAGAGAACCCACGCTGCACGGGGAGAACATGCAAACTCCACACAAAAAGATCCCAGGCGTCCTAACTGGGACACGAATCAGGGATCTTCTTGCTGCGAGGCGACGTTGCTAACCACCACGCCACCTTGGAGCCTGGTATTTCAAACATGTTCTTGAAATTCACAAAATGATGATCAGCTCCAGAATGACTTTATATAGACTCACCTGCTACCAATCTGCTTGACAGTAGCAGCCACTTGGAGTAGCCCATGAAGTACATTAAATTACCTGTAGGGTCAAAATAGAGGTAACATATAAGGTGTCAATGGTCATATACATAACATTCAAAAAGAAATCTCAAATGCTGTTTTTGTTTTTGTCAAGAGAAGTCAAGTTACTCAATACAATTGGGGTTCAAACTCATAGGAGTCCTATTTGTAGGAACCAGTATTGGGTAGGAGAAGACACTCGTGGACTCACCGACTATTTCAAAAACGTTGCCAAACAGGATAATCTTCTTTATAGCTCGCGTCCTGTCAGACCAGTGGCCAAACAGTGGTCCTGACAGCAGGCCGCTCAGACTGAACGCTGACAGGGTCAAACCCAGGAAATACGGTTCCGCATCTAGGGTCTGCAAGTACCTCCATATCGTGGGTAAAATCACGGCTGGGGAGAAAGAAGTGAGGAGGGTTCATTATTCTTCTAGTGCCTTTTCTGAAATAGTGCTGCCCTTCTGTAAGTGCTTGGACAGTTCAACGTCATCGTCAAACCACATTCGAAACAAAACGTGCTGTAAATGAAACACTACAACACTACAGCGACTATATGAACTGTCACCTTGACAGATGCATTGTTAATACCTGGATATAGTCCTGGGTAAATACAACAAACTTGCATCTCCACCTTGATTACGCAACAAACATAGTGTGGCGATCATCTATTGTAAGCAAGTTGCTTGTGCACCATTCAACCCATTGATGGTGAATCATCTGTTCTTTATCAAACCAAAAAGAATAAAGCTGTAGAAACAAACTAAGATAGGAGTTTAACTGCTGTCACCGTGTTGTAATTCGAGATGCAACTTAAATCCTATCGTTTACGCAAAGTTGTGTGAATCCAGTTTAACTTTGGCTGCGGTGGTTCTCCCGGTCAGTGGTTCCAGCTTTGTTAGACACAGGATAGTGCTGACTAAATACAATCCAAATTCAATAACTTGGTCAGATGACACACAATGAAGCATACTCTCAGGGAATTCCAGAGGAAAGGATTGCTGAGATTCTCATGTCATGTTGGGCAATCCTGATGGAAGTAGTTGTGTGTGGCAGTGATAAAACTAGAAAACTAAATGTCTTTGTCACAGCTTTTAAGACACTGAAAAGTAAAACCACCACAGTACAAGCACGGATTGTAACCTAATGTAATTAATACCATCTTTTTGAATCCCACTGGCAGCGCATGGGAGACGTTTGGTGAGTTGTGGGTTAGTGATGTTGTTCTGTAGTAGTTTAGCTTCAAACGTTACACAGATTAGTGTCAAACCGGCAGTAAACTAATGTTGGATCCCCTACAGAACAAATCATCTACATTTATCTCTTCAGGATTGTTTGCTGCATTTCACTGCAGCACAGTTAGTGATCAGTGTTAAGAACACATTGCTAATTCAGATATAATTGGAATCATTGGCTAAGTTGCATTATGCCTCAAGAGCTTAATAATTTGTCATCCATCCTTGTTTCAGTTAAACATTAAACCAACTATAGCATGACTCAGGTCTGCACGGTGAGGTCGTTTGGAGGTTCAATAACCCCAGAAAGAGTTTCACAAATTCCACCAGACGTCTTTTTGAGCATCTATTTAACTTTTCAATCAATACAACAACAAAAGTTCCATAGATACTCAAAGTCCAGGTGGAGATGACTGAGGCAAATTAAACATAAGGGGACCAAACGTCCTGTTTTCCCAGGACACGTCCCGTTTTCACATCCTGTCCTGGTTGTTTTTTTATGAAGTGATGAAAATGTCCTGGTTTTCACTGTGTTTCACTGAATTCTATTTGTGCAATACAACTCCAAATACAACTCTTAATGTTATTTATTAAGCAGCAAAAAACTTCTGGGAAACATCAGCTCTACAGCAAAATATAGATGATGAGCAAACAAGGAGGATGAGGAAGAAAAACAGGATTGGATTTCTAATATGGCAGAGGTGTTCTTTAGGTTTTTTTTCCTAATACAGAAGAGACATTATTTCTATCGTTATTTTTGAAACTTGTCATAATAAAACGTGTTGAGTACCCTCCAAGAAGCCTATCTGAATTTGTGTCTTTGGTTATAGATAGTATTTAATAATATAACAACTTTCTATCCATACAGAGGAGGCGTACTTTACTGAAATTATAAGACATCTCTGAGTAAACTTCAGAGTATCATTTCTTTGCCGGGCTGAGTGTCCTGCTTTAAATTGAATTCTATTTGTGCAACACAACTCCAAAGACAACTCTTGCAAACACTTTCCGGCTTATTTGTTAAGCTGCTGGGAAAGATCAGCTCTACAGCAAAACACCACCCAGGAATGTGTGAGATAGTTTATCACGTTGCTCATACTTGCAATGAATTATAGTTTTTTTTTTTTAAAGTAAGGACTGAACTGGTCACTTGAAAGAATCCCACAATATGAATTTTTACCAATGTTGTCTGTGATCCTGCCTGGACGACAACATCAACAGCACTAAGAGAGAATCAGTGGGATTTGACACTGAGTTCTGGAACCATTCTGCATTTTATTATTTCTTATGAATTAGCTTCAGTTTGACGTATCTTTCTGGTGATTTTGCTGTTATTTTATGATGCCGGGATGCAGAGACGAGGCGTGGGAGGGTGTATGGGACGCAACAGCAGACAAAAAACATTTGCATTTGAAGCTTTAGACAACAAGGAGGAAGAAAGACAGGATGAAGAGGAAAACGAGGATGAAGAAGGAAACTAAGGATATAGATATTTTTTGTAAGTTTTGTAGGTTGGATTGCTGATACAGGAGGGGTATTTTTATTTTTTTCCAATACAGAAGAGACATTTTTGAAACTTGTCATGATAAAACTTGTTGATAACCTCTAAGAATCTGTGTCAGCGGTTATGTAGATAGTATCTGGTAATGTCACAACTTTCTATCCATACAGAGGAGACGTACTTTAAATAAGGCATCTTTTGTCCTGGATCATCATCAAAACATGGTCACCCTATTAAACGTAGTTTTGTTTGTTTTCTATCAGGATGAGGGGCTTCACAGGAGGAATCCAGCCTGGGTCACATTTAATTTCTTCTTTCCCACATGTCCATGCAATTGTCTCATTCAGAAGAAACAGAAAATACAAGAAAGCTCCAACGTGTGTGAACTTGTTAAGGTGTGTGTGCAGATCTCAGCAGCTCACCTCCAAAGGTAAACCTCACCACCTGACTTTAAAATTAAAAACACGGATGCGCACTTATGAATGATCACTACAACAGCCAGGAAACATCCTTAAGGAGCGGTTTATTCATCTACTAATAGTTTCTATGTGATCTTACCGTATTCCACTCCGCTCAGAAGGAAAATCAGTCCCGTCGTGACGTACGTCAACTTCTTTCTCCGTCGGTTATCCATCTTTTTTTTTGTTTGTTTGTTTGGCTGCTGTAATCTTTCTATACTTTGACCACGTTCATGCTTCACAACACATTCTGGCTGGAAATCAACGTAATGCTGAGTGCGCCGCCTCCAATTAAAGCCGCCAGCAGGGACATGAGCAGGACAGGCAGCGAGCGGCTGGGAAAAAATAAATAAATTAAAAAAAAAAAAAAGAAAAAAGAAAAAGGCTTAAATAATAAAACGATGCATGTTATTCCACGAGTCTTAACAGTGAGAATTAAACTCGGGAAGCCCAGCCGCTCAGCTCTCTGTGGAGGTGAAACCAAACAGTCCGTACACAGTGTGCTGCTGCTGCTGCGCCATTTAAAGCCGGAATACATCACTTCCGCTGGTCTGTACACACACACACACACACAGACACAGGTTCAGCCTCTTAAACAGCCCTCTCTCTCTCACACACACACACACACACAGGGTTCACAATAGACTTTTCATGTAATTCATTCAGAATAATTT